GCTGTCCTCCCTATCACCTGGGGGGGGGGTAACTACAGGTCAATCAGGTTCAGCTGAGAAGTGGTTACCAGAGTATCAATTAGAATCAGCTGAGAGGGAGCTACCTGAGGTTAATTAGGATCAACTGATTCCAACTAAGGGCTGCCTGAGACCTTTTTAAACCCTTCCCTGGGGGAAGAAGGGGGAAGAGAAGAGAGAGGAGTCCTGCTGCCAGTAGGTTAGGAGTAGTAAGACAATGAGCCTCACCAGGAGGAGAGGCTGCATTCCCTCCCATAAGGAAGAAAAATAAGCTAAAAAGACTGGTGGAGAGAAGGAATGGACTTCCCCTGTGCCACCAAGAGGGACTATATTACCCAAGCCTGTCTCGCCAGGGTGAAAAGCAGCGGAGGCTGGGGAGACCGAGAAGGTGCCTTGCCACACTGGCTAGAATGTCGGGCTCAACGGGTAGTGATCAATGGCTCAATGGCTAGTTGGCAGCCGGTATCAAGTGGAGTGCCCCAGGGGTCGGTCCAGGGGCCGGTTTTGTTCAACATCTTTATTAATGATCTGGACAATGGGATAGATTGCACCCTCAGCAAGTTCGCAGATGACACTAAGCTGGGGGGAGAGGTAGATACGCTGGAGGGTAGGGATAGGGTCCAGAGTGACCTAGACAAATGAGAGGATTGGGCCAAAAGAAATCTGATGAGGTTCAACAAGGACAAATGCAGAGTCCTGCACTTAGGACAGAAGAATCCCAGGCACTGCTACAGTCTAGGGATTGAGTGGCTAGGCAGCAGTTCTGCAGAAAAGGACTCGGGGATTACAGTGGATGACTCATAGACTCATAGACTCATAGACTTTAAGGTCAGAAGGGACCATTATGATCATCTAGTCTGACCTCCCGCATGATGCAGGCCACAAAGCCATCCCAACCCTTTCCCTTGACTCTGCTGTTGAGAAGCTGGATTTGAATCAGCAGTGTGCCCTTGTTGCCAGGAAGGCTAATAGTATATTGGGCTGCATTAGTAGGAGCATTCCCAGCAGATCAAGGGAAGTGATTATTCCCCTCTATTTGGCACCGGTGAGGCCACATCTAGAGTACTGCATCCAGTTTTGGGCTCCCCACTACAGAAAGGATGTGGATAAATTGGAGAGAGGTCAACGAAAGTGATCAAGGGGCTGGGGCACATGACTTACGAGGAGAGGCTGAGGGAACAGGGGTTATTTAGTCTGCAGAAGAGAAGAGTGAGGGTGGATTTGATAGCAGCCTTCAACTATCTGAAGGGGGGTTCCAAAGAGGATGGAGCTCGGCTGTTCTCAGTGGTGGCAGATGACAGAACAAGGAGCAATGGTCTCAAGTTGCAGTGGGGGAGATCTAGGTTGGATATTAGGAAAAACTATTTTACTAGGAGGGTGGTGAAGCACTGGAATGGGTTACCTGGGGAAGAGGTGGAATCTCCATCCTTAGAGGTTTTTAAGGCCCAGCTTGACAAATTATTTAGTTGGTGTTGGTCCTGCTTTGAGCAACGGGTTGGACTAGGTCTCTTCCAACCCTGAGGTCTCTTCCAACCCTAATCTTCTATGAGTCTATGATTCACAGTCTGTTCCTCACACGTCCCAGGCCTCCTGCCAAGGCCCTGGCTGTGCTGCAGAGAGGTTGCGGGTCAGACACTCGCTCTGGTGGTCACCACACACCTTCAGGCTCTAGGTGGCAGAGTCCTTCCCCACAGCGTCGTCCTCCCTCCCTCCCATCAACGTTATGATCCCCCTCCATGTCTGGCCTGCAAGATCTCTTGGCTGGGGGTGTCTCCCTGTACTGGGCCCACTGCTCAGGGTCTCCCCTCACTCTCCCCAGCTGCTCACCGCACCTAGCTCAATACTGCTCCAGCTCCAGCCCCAACTCCAGCCCCAGCACTGCTGCTGCTCTGCCTCCAGCCCCCTGGGCTGCTTATCTGGCCCCTCTGGCTCTGGTTGCTGCAGTTCTTCTCCCAGCACTGACCTGTTCCCTGGGCTGCTTCTCTGGCTCTTGTTGCTGTGGCTCTGCTCCCAGCACTGCCCTGCTCCCTGGGCTGCTTCTCGGGTTCTCTCTGGCTGGCGAGGCCCTGCTCCTGAGCTCGGCTCAGGCCCCTGCTCTTTCCTTAGTCTGGTCCTACTCTATTCCAGGCAGTTCCCACAGTTGCCAACTTTCATGTGGTAAATAAACACCCTGACTTTCACAATAAGCCAAAAATCAAGCTAATCCCATTTCAAAACAAGGCCAAAACAAGCCAATCCCTAAGAACCCCAGCACTCTATGTGACTAGATCCCCCCGGCATGCAGTCTGGGCCTGTGGTGGGCCCACAGTGCACCCCTGACTCTCTCCCCACCCCTTGCCCCTGCTTGCCGGGAGATGATACAAAAAAAAAAAAGAAGAAGCAATAAGCTACAACAAGCACCCTACAAGCCAAACAAGCAACAAGCCAAAAACTAGCCAACAAGCAACTCACAAGCCAATTAAACTAAAAACAAGCCCAATTTCTGCGTGGGTTTGGCATGTCTGGCAGTTCCGCTCACAAGGAGGATGGGACCCCCCAGCCTCCTGATTCCCTCATTAGCCTGCCTGCCCTGTCAATCAGGCTGATCTGGAGTATTGGCCTCTCCCCATTGCTGCTGGGACTGTCAGTCTCAGGATCCTGATTTCCCATCGACCCTTCCTTTTGGTACTGGGAGATGGCCAACCAACCTCCTCCCCCACTAAGTTTTAGTAAGGGGACAACAGTCCCCTTAGATCAGGGGTCTCAAATACACTGCTTGCAGAGTTATTTGCTGCAGCCTGCCAAGCTCCCCGCCCCCCAGGAGTTATTTCCTGTGGCCGCCAAGCACCCCTCACCCCATCAACAGCCATTGTCTAGCAAGAGAGCTACAATGCAATGACTCACCTGCATGAGGCCCCACCAGGGGAATTGCTCAACCTTGCTGAGAGACTCATCAATGCCCCCAAGACGTGCCTGGACTTGTGTTCCAAAAGCACATGGACTGAGGGTATAAAACAAACAGAGTGGACACATACGGGTCCCTTTTCCTGCCCCATCTATGCAGCAAGCAACCAAGATACAGAGAAGACAAGACTCCAACACAGGAGACTGGCCCAGGTTTAAGGAACAAACCTGTATATTAAGGATTGCAATATCCAGTGGGGTAAGAAAAACTGCCAAATCTAGTTGCTACCCAGTCTAATAGTGTTGAGAGTTTAGACTGCGTGCTTATATTTTCTTTTCTTTTGATAACCACTCTGACTTGTTATGCTTTGATTTATAATCACTTAAAATCTATCTTTATAGCTAATAAATCTGTTGGCTTATACTACCTGAAGCAGTGTGTTTGGTTTGAAGTGTGTCAGAGGCTCCCGTGGGGATAACAAGCCTGGTACATATAAATTTCTTTGTTAAATTGACGAACTTATATATGTCCAGCGGGCATAACTGGACACTGCAAGACAGGTTCCTATGGTTGTTTCTGGGACTGGAGATATTGTCTAGTGTCATTCGCTTGCAAGTAGCTGGGAGCAGCTTACATGCCAGAGGCTGTGTGTGAACAGCCCAGGAGTGGGGGTTCTCACAGCAGAGCTGGGTAAGGCTGGCTCCCAGAGTCAAGGACTGGAGAGGCCTAGCAGATCATCGATCCAGATAACACCAGAGGGGAACGTCACACCTGTGCAATGCTCTTAAGTCCTATGTGGGCAATCTATGTCAGCGGGGAAAGGAGAGAACTTACCTCATCTGGGGGCTGAAGTGCTAACTTTGATTTGTCCCCTTTGACGGAAGCATATGGTACAAGAGAGGAAGATTGTGCCCAGGGCTCCCTGATCGCCCCAATCTTCCCCAGGAGTTTGGGATCCAGGATGGGAAGGGTGTCAGTGTTGGACGGGGTGAGAAACATATCCGGTCTCTGGAAAAAACAACAATACAGCTTAGATGGAGAGAGCTTAGATGTAGGCAATGGATCAGAGCTGAAAAGAGCAGGGGGACTGGGTTCTGAATAACCCATATTCTCTCCTGTGTTTGCTTCTTAGAAATCAAGACCCCTTGGGCCTGATTTTCAATAGCCCAGAAGCTCCCAGCTGCCTCCAGAAATGTGAGAGTAATTCTGCCCCTAATTTCCATGTGCTCTGGCCATGCTGGTCTGCCCAGCTGGGATAGCCATGCACACAAAGCAGGCAGAGAGTCGTGCAGGGCTTCTGAAAAATCAAACCCTGCACAGTCTGTTCCTGTCAACGACAGATCTCAGGCACTACGGGCTTCACTTTCAGAGGTGCTGCTCTGCCTGACTCCTGCTGGGGCTGTGAACTAGCCAATGAGAGGGGAAGGCTGCTGGGACTAGGGGCACAGAACATAGGAGTCAGGGTTGTGGGTCTAATTCCTGGCTCTGCTAGAGCCTTGCACTTAACCTCTCTGGCCCTCATTTCCTATTGCTAAGTGGGGATAATAATCCCTCCCTGTGTCACAGTGGCATTTGAGGCCTGTGGACTTTTGAGGCTTAATTTCCTGAAGTGAGTTGCTAGGTATCTATGGCTCCTGCCTTTCTCAACAGATATGCCCTGTGCCTGTTAACAGCCCAGTCTCGTCCTTTGGCCTACATGCTGGTTTTTATGTCTCTTCCACCCCATCAGCCCCATGCTGGGAAAGGGGGCTGACTTCTCTTCTGGCTGACTGTGCCTTCCCAGGCTTTCCAGGGTGGAATCTATGCTGTTGGCTGCGTAGGAGAGAGGTCTGGGTAGAGAGCAGCCCCTACACTTGGCCCTGAAGGATCACAAGAATGTAGCTTCGCAAAGTGTTTCCAAAACCCGCATGGAAACGCTACGGTGGCAAACGTCCCTAGCAGGGCCGGCTCCAGTTTTTTGACGCCCCAAGCAAAAAAAAGGGGGGGGGCCGGAGTACCACCGCTGAAGCAAAGTGCCGCCCCCAAAAGGCTGGAATGCTGCACCTTGAAAAGGGCCGTCCCAAGCACATGCTTGGAATGCTGGTGCTTAGAGCCGGCCCTGGTCCCTAGGGCTGTCCCAGCACAGTGGGCTTTGCAAGGGATTGGCGTGGTGCACATAGCAAGCAGAGCCAGGGCTTGAGCCAGATGCTGATTCAGGACTGTAATGCGATTTTACCTTCCTTCATTTCCAGCCACTCAGCTCTGCCTCCCTCCCCCGCCAGCCTGGGTTTTATAGACTAGCATCTAATCTGGTTAGAGAGGGAAGTTGGATCTAATGAAATAAACAATGGAGTCCATAGAACCCTTGCTGCCGCCCTGGAAGAGGGGTCATGGTTAGGATGGTGGGAGAGGGGAGGGTGGCTTTATGCTTTGCAGAATTTGCCTGATGAATTTCAACAACCCTCCACCCCCGTTGGCATCAGCACCTGCCTTCTGCTTCTCCCAGTGGTGACGGGGCTCCCAGATTTTAGCTTTCATTTATTCCACCACTTGAAGGTTTTGGGCCCATGGCGGCTGGGATACCATGAACAGGCAGACCCCTCAGACAATGCAGCTCAGCAGAGACATGCTGTGACAATGTTGAGCTTGTACCCTGGTCTGCCAATGCTCCTCATTCGTGACCTGGTATTTTGGTGCTGGACCTCTGCCAAACATTGCCACACTCCCTGGTTTCTGAGCTGTAGCAATCTCTGATTCCCTGGCCTGGACCCCATGGCTCTGCCAACTCCCTCCCACAATCTGATTCTGCTATTCTGCATTTCTCTGCTTGTGGTTTCTTTGACAAAACAAATCTAGGTGCCACTGTTCCCCATGACTGTAACTAGGTTCACTGGGGAAGGGACAGGCTCTGAGTTCTCAGCCAGACACTGGGAGTGAGGAGCCTAAATACTTTTGTGGATCTGGGCCAGGTGTCTCCGAGCCTAGTTTACCCAGTGACACTAGTTGCCAAAGACTCCACTCTCCAGAGCCTGTATCTTATCTAGTGATCCCATTCTTGGGAGACAATGGTTTGTCCCATGGCTCTCCAATGTGGCTGATTACTGAGTTGCTGAATGCCAGTGGCTGCTATATTAACACTAGTCCCTGAGGGCCATCACTTCTGCACTGGAACAATCAGCAAAGTCCATGGCATCCCCATAATAATCTGTAACCTGGTTCCCAAGGGAGTAACCCTGTTCCTCTGATACTGTGGCAGCTCCCCACTCTGCAGTAATCTGTAGGCCTGACTTTTGACTAATGTGTTATCATTGGCTCAAATCCCTGTCTGCATTTGAAGGGGCCTGTGCTCAGGAGGGTGATACACAGACACAATTCCATTGCCCTTGGAGTTGTTCCTGTGCTGATACAGGCCTGGGTTTAGGGATCAATTACATGGCTAATATTAGGGAAATTAACCAGCTGCCCAAACAACTGGGAAAGGCAGAAGGCCCTTAAATAGAAGAGAAATGATCATTCACTGGAGAAGATTCAGCTGGGCTTGTGCAAACTCCATGGAGCCAGAGGATTCTTCATTGCAATAATCTCAAGCCTCCGCCTCCCATGATTGGTGTGTGCCTTGCAGACAGTCTCTTCATTTAGCACAGCCCAAGTACTCAGGCACCTCTAACTTGCCAAATTGGTGTCTGTGATGGGAAGCAGCAAAATGGCCCTTGCTTATGTCTTACTCCGTGACTGTGGATGACACTGTCTTGTTAGTGCAGTAATGAGGAGCCGTCTTTGAAGGCACAAAACAACGCACATCCTTTGGCCCGAGTGCCTTTCCTTCCTTGATTCCCCAAAGCCGCTGCCACTGGGAGAGATTATGTGCAGAACAAGGAACTTTCCAAGTGCTCTGAAGGTGCCCTCGCGAACTTCCCGATTGCTGCCTCATTAACGCCATCAGATGCTGTCTTCTGTGCTGACGCATTTCATTAAGCTGGAGGCCTTGACCTCGGAAAGGCTCCTCTGGCATCAAAGAAAGCAAGACACCATACTGCCAAGTGGAAATCCCTCCTCCCTCTCCGGTTCCCTGAACCTGCCCTCCCCAGGGGACAGGATCATGCAAAATGCAACAGTTTATCATGCTCTCTGCAATTACAAGTGCGCAGCATACAGCTGCTGTTGGCCGAGCTGAAATTACCATGAATCCCATCTCTTTGCCTGCCATCTTCACTTGACGGAGATAAAGAGTGTTTGCTAGCAGAAGTGCACATGTTCTTAATTCAATTAGCTCTCCCCAGAACACTCCACTGGGAGTAGCAGGCAGAAACTGACAAATTCTCTTTAACAAAGATATTCATTTCCCCCCTCCCCCCTTTTGGCTTTGCCCTGCTGTATCCCACTCATTAGCTATCTAACAAAGCAAGCCCAGCCCAATCTGTTTCCCTTCAGCAGCAATTCTATAACTCTTATGTAATTTATACTGCGATAAGGGGATCTGTCTAGTCAGGCAGCGCTGGGATTATTGCAGGCAGGAAGCTGGCAGAAGAATAATGAGAGAGCCTGGGAGTCTGCCCATTCATTCAATGGCATTTCATTTCTTTTGGCAATATTTATTTTGTTACTCAGTCTCTCTCTCTCTCTCTCTCTTCACACAGATGGATAAATATAGACACCAACGCTACAGACAGGCGGGTATAGGTTGAGACTTTCAAAGCAGTACAGGGGATTTAGAAAGGTCTTTTCCATTAAAATCAGAGAAAATCACGGGCCTTGTTTGAGTCAATGGGAGTTTTGCCATTGACTTCATTCAGGCCAGGATTCACTCTGTTTCTAAATCCTCTAGACAGGTTTGACAATATTATGCATAGTTACCTGTACAGGCACACACACATAGACACTGAAAAAAAATGCTATCATTTCAAAGAGGCCTTTCTATCCCGGATCTTGTATCATCTGGCTAATTGATCCTGTCTCCTTACAGCCCTTCCTGCATTGTACTTAGCGGTCCGTCAACATTTGTCACTTTAAAGGAGCTACATATGGTGGCTGTTTAGTTTGACTGTAAGATGAAGATACACACATGTGATCAGCCCAGAACCCTTATTTGTTAAAGAAAAAACATGTTACTTGGTTACAATGTTTAAGTGACAGAATGTGAGAAAAATAAGAGATGTTTCCCCTGTCAATGTCAAGCTCATGTTTCCAGGTAGAGAAAGGTTTGTCTAACAGGTTGTTTTGGGGGCAGATCGTCAGCTGGTGTTAATTGTCATAGCTCCACAGAGCTATGGCAGCTGAATGGAGCTATGACAATTTATACCAACTGAGCATCTGCCCCTTCATTTTTAAATGGCATCAGTGTAATAAATTAAAGTTATCTAGGCAATGACGGATGTAGGTTGAGTTTGGTTAGCCTGAAAAAAAAGGATGTTTTTCTCTTCTCTCCTTTGCATCACTGTTGAATGGAACAATGTACAGATTCGTTGATCTTTATTAATTCATAAATTGCAAGGTCAGAAGGGATCACTGTGATCATCTAGTCTGATCTCCTCCATAACACAGGCCAGAGAACTGCCCCAAAATAATTCCCAGACCATACATTTTAGAATGACATCCAAACTTGATTTAAAAATTGCCAGCGATGGAGAATCTACCTTGACCCATGGTAAATGGTTCCAGTTGTTAATTACCCTCACTGTTAAAAATATACAACTTATTTCCAGTCTCAATTTGTCCAGCTTCCACTTCAAGACATTGGATCATGTTCTACTTTTCTCCATGTAGGCACATATAAACTGTGATCAAGTTATCCCTTAACCTCCTCTTTGTTAAGCTAAATAGATTGAACTCCTTGAGTCTATCACTATACATCATGTTTTCTAATCCTTTAAAAAAAACAGGAGTACTTGTGGCACCTTAGAGACTAACAAATTTGTTAGTCTCTAAGGTGCCACAAGTACTCCTGTTATTTTTGCGGATACAGACTAACACGGCTGCTACTCTGAAATCTAATCCTTTAGTCATTCTTGTGGCTCTTACATGAACCCCCT